GGATGCCTAGTTCACTTTCATGCATAAACAGACTTCCGCGCACACGTCCAAACACGTTATCAATCTCCCCGAGCATGTTGATGCAGAGTCTCACAGTTTATGCCAAACTTCCCTCGCAGGAGGTAGGAGAGAGTCTCTGGAGATCACGACAATTCATGATTCCCTCTGCATGTAAGCCGATACGCAAGGAGAATGCCAAAACACCTGAAAACATTTATATTATTATACAGCAATCCTCCCTTACATTATTCAGCATACAAAGTTTATCATTTACAAAGGAATGTGTCTGTAATAGAAAAAATATAAAAAACCATATAAGTTCAAAAATTATTAAACTAATGAGAGTAGTAACAATATCATTGTACCAATTTAGATTGAATGATCTTCAAAATTAAATACAACGAAGTTTTAACATTGCCTTAAAAAATTTATATTAGTAGATTTGGGTATAATAAATTGTAATTGCAATTGGTGGTGGCTTTTGTAATTCTGTTGTATCATAGTCATTGTATAAATATTTGCTCTAGAAAAAAGGCGGAGCTTTAGCATTTGAGGACCACTGCATGGAAATATGAAGTCTATTTGCAACAAGAGTTGACAAACAATCTACGTATTCAAAATTTAAAAACATCAGAAAAATGCACTTTGCTCAAGCGTTTTAGATTCAATTTACTGAGAAAAAGAGAAATAGTCATATTGAAGTTTTGGCTGTACTACCGGCAATTGGAACCAATAACCTCACATATCTCAGATATCTACATTATTTATTGTCATGTGAAGCAAATAGTTGAATGGCTGGCAATTCACCATCAGTGATTGCAACTATCCATACGCGTAATGGCAAAATACTACAGACATTCTGAATCTTTGCACTAAAAAAGCAATGAAAACACGCAGCAACTACTCAAAAAATGCAGAGAATTCTTAATGCTATTTACATCCCTCCCTACCCACATTTGTATATCAATGTTTACTTTAAAGGGGTTAGCCTAATCATCAATCAGTCTGGAAGTCTGATTTAGACTCTTAGTAGATGGCTAACTTCGTAGTGCTAAAAAACTACATAAATAAGTTTTACTCATTAGTTTTATTCGAGTAAATTTACCAATTTATAAAGCCAAGATAAGTATTGTGCCCACAAAAAAGAATGCATCTAATTTCATACAGTTAAAGTTGTATCCATAATTCCTGCAGAAGGCATACATCTCTTCAACTCGCACACAAATCGGAAAATAATATGTGCATTTACCCCAAGAATGTCCACTGATAGGTACCCATGTACCTAATGAACTTTCCTCTTCCATATAATAAAAAAAAAGTATTTCAGATAATGAATGTCAGTTTGTGTTATTAATAGAGGCAAGTGATGAAACTGATGTAATTTTAATGAAGTGCATTTTTAGTCCAATATAATAAGTTTTGCAAGTTGAAGAAAAGAAGAGATCTAATAAGCTTTAAAACTCCTACCATTTCCCTTCCTCTCATCTTTTTTTCTCTGACTTTTTATTACAGAGTATTTAATAAATTGATAATTTCCATGACCCGTGTTAATTTTAATTCATAGTGAATCTTCTTATTAAAAGATTTAAATTGAAGTAATATTAATGAAATATTAATATTCTATGAACATTCAAATTAAAAATGTATAAATCATAATGGTCATTCAAAACATCACTCTCAAATTAAAGTCTTGCCAAATAATGAATCTACTGACATTATTAAATAAAAGGAAAGAACCAGAACAGATTTAAATAAGGTCAAAATGTAACAAAGGATATTAAGAAATATACAATATTGAGAGAGTAATTGCGAACAATTCAGCGCATCAAAATTAGAAGAATAATTGCATTCACTGACTACTTGCCATTTCAATATTATCTTTTCTTAAAACAACAGTATGACAATACAGGATAAAGGAATCTAGGGTCTCTCAGTCGTTCCTAATGATCACTATTGTTTATTTGTTCATGTTGTTGTGTTCTCTATTTCTCTTTTATATTCATAAATATTACATGTCACTAATTTAAGCGGGTCCAGTTTTCCGGTAAAACAAAAGTTCCAACAATGATCTAGCAATTCTTTATTCATTTCATATTCTGCTGGGTTTTCAAGATCGTGAATAAAAAGCCAATACATTGACTTGCTTCAAATAATGAGTTTACCAGGTAAGTCTGCACTTTAATCGTTGTGCATGAACATTTCCAGCTCACTCTGTTCTGGCGAGAAGATGGAAACTGTCCCCATGTGGGTTTAGCTTTTTTGTCAGCCAAAACGAGCTGGAGCGGTGCTTCGGCAAAGCGCTGCAGAGCGGTACAACCAATTTGCTTCCATTTGGAAAATTGACACAAACACCCACACTTAATTAAACAACTAAAGCGAGCTAAAAACGGCAATATATTCTTTCTCAATAGATGTGGTTTCCTTAGTTCTCACTGCGGTCAGGAAGAGTACTTTCTTTTTCACCCCATTTCTTCCAGATCTACATATGCGGCTCTTAAAAGTCCTACTAGAGACTCTTCTTGGCAAAAGACACTTTGTGCTTGCCGCTACAAATCGTTAGAGATTGCAATAGAATATATTCAGTCTGCTTCATGTATTTTCTAAATGGTATCCGCCCATGGCCTTTCATTCTCAGTGCTATTCGATGGTTCTGGTGTATGGGTTTTAGTTTCAATTACACCCACAGTTGCCTGTCAGGCCAAGAGTAATGGATAAGATGGTAGATTTTAGCAATTCCTAAAAATGCAAAATGTTACCAAGACGTTTGAAAAAAATAAGAAGTAATTGTATGTTTGACGGTCGTACATAATTTTGAAGTTTTTTTCTGCTGTGATAAAATGCAAAACATGACAAAGTGCGAAATGGCCATGAATTTGCAAAGTAATTGCTAAATTGCGTTTTATGGTGTTGCTGTCATGAGAATGAGAAAGGGAAGAAGAGGAAACCCTAGTCGAACAGGCAACACATTATTCTTACACTTTTTATGCTTCTGCCTTTTCATATTTGTTGAAGTATGAATGGCAAAAATATTAAATTATTCCCTTATTTCCTGATGCTAAAGTTTGTTTTTCCTCTCAAAATTTAACTATCACACAACGTTCTCGAAAATGTAACTATCTCAAAACGTTCTTCAAAATTTAACTATCTGCAAAACATCTCAAACTTAACTATCTCAAAACGGTTCTCAAAATAACTATTCTCAAAACGTGGTCTCAAAATTACTATCTGCAACAAGGAACAGTAAAAAGTCTTGTACCAAAGTAGAAAAGCTGTTATCTCTACAGGGCAATAAATCCTCAAAAGAAATTGAAGCTAGCCAAAGAAGTTTAGAGTCTTTTAATATCTACATTGAAGGAATAAACTGAAAACCTGGCAATTGAAGAGTTGATCCCATTAATTTCCTATTAGCTTTGAAATAATTTTTACACATCAACAATCACACGAGAAGAGTGACCCCATCTGCAATAATTTTATAACAAACTAAATCAAAATCAGGGTTATGCTTATACAAAGTTTACCATAACAAGTCAATGTATACCTTTTTAAAGAAAAATATATGTTACAATAAATATATCTATTCACACTCCAAATATATGCAATAAGTTTTCCTGCAAAACCAAATGGATTACGAAGAAAAGTCTGAGATTTATGGTTTGAGGCCTTCTGTTTCAAACTTTAGGTGAATGTACAGTCACACTACGTGACATTATTAATATCATCATGAATTGAAGAGAAGAGCAAAACATGAGGTAATAAACAAGTTAATAGCAATGCATATAACAGCTTGTCAAGCAGATTCTAATACAAGAGTTGATATATCCTTCCAAATTACCATCAAAGGTGAAAACAACACTAGTGTTTTGACATTAGAATATAATATATCTGAGTGACGTGATTTTCGTCTGGCTTCTTGTGGAACACACATGTCTCTGTCCACATGTTTAGTTTACAATTAAGGATACTGCAGTGGAGGGTTAACATATTTGAATCATGAACAGTCTATTATTTTCAACATTAGGGTTCACATCACATGAAATTGATGCTGAAAAAGAAAAAAGCCTTAATAAATTGCAAGCTGCTTTGTGGAATGAATAATCAGAATAAACTTTTGAAAAGGAAAACTGAAAAGTTTTACATAAGAAATGGCAGTCCCCAAATTCCTCACCAGTTCCGAAACTGGGTAATCAAGGAACACCCAATAACCAGAATATCAAGCCCTTTGATGATGGAGTGTCAAGGTAATGTAAAGGGTTATAGAAGGCAAGACAGAACAGAAATAACAAATCCAGAACAATCCAGATTTGCAGCAATATATGCAGTGCACAATCGTTCTACAGAAATGCCTACGCACCGTAATAATGAAGACACCTGAAAACAACTCCTAAAACAATTCCGTGGAAGGAAGAAAAAATGAGACACGCGAGAGTGGGCAACCTTATTACATCTCAGCAGATGGGAGTCACCTAATCCCTGATTGAAAAATTTCCAACACACATTGGTGAAATACTGAACACAGCAAAAGACAAAGGCCCCACTAAACAAGAATAATTACTTCCAAAAAGCAGAATTACTTCATGCAGTGTTGTGGCATATTATTTTCAAAATCTACAACGCATCCTTCGTTCATTGATAGAGTAGGCTTTTTTTTTCCTTTCTTTTTTTTTTTTATTAGATAAAATATATTAAAGCTTAAGAAGAAAAACTGACAAGAACTACTTAACTTATAGTTCTAATCTGATCTTCCCACTAATTAACATCACACAAAAAAAGAAACTGTTGCAAAAGAGAAACCACATTCTGGAATGTTTGATGACAAGATCATACAGAAACATCTATCACAATACACAACAAACATATTTTGTGAATAAAGTTCAATGAATGAGATTTGCATAGAAATACATATAAATTATTTGTTTTACAAATTGAACCCTTCTTTTCCAACAAGTTGCTTCCAATTAGGAAGCAGCCTTTCTCAAGCATATACCAATTCTTTCGTTTACCTTCAATTCAGCTCTCAGAAAACTTGCAAATTCCAATGATGTCACATTTGCTTTCTTAAGTATTTCAGAACAATTAACATACATTTCATCACAACTCACAGCTTCTATTTCCAAGGTGTAACTAGAAAGAAAGAAAAAACTACGTAAACAGGTGTCTTATCTCACACATTACATCCCACCTTTGCTGCATAAAATTGTCCATGAAAATAATGACAATTTAGTCAAAAGAGTGTAGTAAAAGTGGGTTCCATTTGCTGATGGCAGTTTCACCAAAAACATTATAAAGAAACGTATATTTTTTAGAAAACTGTATTTAGATAAATAAGTAATGTTTCTTCATACATTCATTAAATAATAGGACAAAATTTTCCTGAGCTGACTGATTTTTTTTTTATTTGCCAATGATATTATTTATTGTTTAGATTTATTTCAAATCAAAATTGTCTTGACACCTGATATGTACTCACCTACCTTGCAAGAATATCATACAATTTGTATGAAACCTCCTTGTAACCTTCAAAATCATACGGAATCGTCTTCAGGTCTGGGCACAATTTGATTGCAGTCCCAAAGAACATACCATTTTTGACACCTGCCTTTCTGGCTTCATAATTGCACGATGCAATTTCCGATAGAGATTCATTCTCATCCACATCATCTAATCTTGATTTTCTTTCAACTTTTTCATTCTCTCCACTTCTACCACTCTGTCGCTGCTTTAGTCTATTTTGAAACCGTTGCCTGTAGAATTCTCTTTCATACTGTCTATTTGTACCTTCTCGCACGCGAGATGCATTCCCTTTGGCATGAGTGACAGCTACAGGACAGCCATGCAGGTCTGGTCGGTTGCGTAATCCTACTGACACAAAGAAGCAATCCATGTCAATGTGCATGATTGTTTTTGTAGGGCATGGCACTTTCTTGTTTCTTTCATTCATGAAAGTTTCATCATCAAAGTCATCAATGATATCATCATCTGCTCCCAAGTCTTGACGAATGCCACTGTTTTTCTTCCACTCCATAAGACGCTTAATACCTGGGAAATCTCCTTGACTGTCTTCCCGAAGCTTAGCCACATACTCTTTGAACATGGCACCCATTGTTGAAAGATGATGAAGTCGGGAATTTCCGTAAAATTCTGACAGAAACTGAGGTTCCACAGCTGTTCTTCTTGAAGCACTTGCCGTCCTTGCTTTGGATGGACTGGACCCTGGACTTTGTTTACTCTTTACAAGGCTCGGGGAATCAGGGCAAGACTTTACCAGCTCTCGTAAACCATTTTCTACACCACCATTTCCACAATGATCAGTATGTTGTTGTTCATTCTCACTTCTTAAACAAGTACTGGTATCTACTTCCTTGCATTTTGTTTCATTATCCACTGAGTTACTTTCACTATCCTGATCACATGGTAAAAGTTCATTATCTTTCTTGATAGTCTTTTTTGAAGAAATTTCCTGCTGAAAATTCAAGCGAGGTTGACTCTTAGTATGATTAGAATACAGAAGGTACTTTCTGAAGTCAAGCAGGGTACCTGCTGTCACACTATCCACTATCCATGCAGGTTTTACCACATTCAAGGTTTTTAACTGCTTTACCTGTAAGAAGTCATCACAATCAAAAACAGCAATAAAATAGACATTATGTATTATTACGCCTATTCACCAAAATATTATTTAGATTATGATAAAATTTCCCATTTCCACAATCCATTAGTTATCTTTTTGAAAAATAACAATAACTATTTCCTGACTTCTCAGGCAAAGTCTATAACATGATTCACAATGCAATCATAATATAATAACCAACAATTGCGATCTTTCTTTTATAAGATCTACAAAAATGTAAACTATTCATGCACCTAATTCTTTAATTTGATTACATTTAAACATTAGTTACGTTAGGGCAAAATGAAGTTATTACATAACAATATGGAGGTAAATGCAATCAGGAATTTTATGAAAGCAAGAAAGTAACATCTATGTACATAAAATTGGTGTTTCTGTAGCGATTTCAAAATATATACTTTTATTAATCTTATTTCATATGCTTATTTACTGGATATAAAAACCAATTCAATTATTTTTACGGTTTTTATCTGTGTTTTTCTTTGTCCAGGGTAATCTCAAGAACGACTAAACCAATTTTGATGAGAATCAATTTTCAATGAAACTTAAAGAGTATTTTGGAGGCATAACTTAAGGTTACAACCTGAAGACCATTTACAATTACTTTTAATCTCACCTTTGTGTCTGGAAGATTGGATGCAATTATGTGTGTTGTTTTGCGAGTTTCATAGTGATGGAATACACCTCCATGAAGAATCATTATTCTTTTCAACTCATCAGCTCCAGGAACTACAAAAGAAAAGAATACAACAGTACATCCAACCCCAACGGTATATCTTCCAAACACAAATGAATTTTCTTTTAATAATTTTGTTTGTTCTCAATTCAGATTTGAAAACATGTATTATGTACGTATTCCATTATTTACAGTTAGGATTCCTCCCAGTTTGCCTGTTTCTTTTGCACTGCCATCTGTAGGCACCTGAGAGACTTACTAAATTTTCCACACTATCCCACCGCAGGGTCAATCTTCTCAATGAAGCTCCCCTTAATCCTCTGAGTACCATGGGGTCAATGACAACACCAATCTTTTGGAAATGTTTTGGAAATTCATTAAAAATCTGTGCAGATTTAATTGTGGCTCAATGAAATTTGTATCTTATTTCATTTTCATTGAATTCATATTTATCTTATTTCATTTATATATGTCTTATATTATGTAATGATTTTAAAAAAAATATGTTTGGGGTCCTAGCGAGACCCCCATGGTATTTTCTGTAACTTTTTCCAAATAAAATGCTTAATTTTGTTTCATAATATTGTGCTTCTAACTAGTGTAAACACAATTTGATATTTTTACTATTGATCAACAGATGCCAACAAAAGGATTTTTAAGTTCCAGTAAGAAAAAAATTGTGAAAACGTGAAATTGGAAATGGCATCTTGGACCCCCTGGTATTTTACATTCCAGCGAGACTGTGGTACTCGGAGGGTTAACAAACTTAACACAAAGTAGCCATTCGGGCCATTTTGATCCTGTATATACATTAGATGGTCAATCTTGGGAATTTTATCTTTATAGATATCAGGAAGCAAGATCTACTATGCACATAAGATCTCCATAGCACACTAGTTATCATTAAGGCGGAGGGATTTGCAAAGGATTAAAATTAAAAAAGATTCATAGGTAACTGACTCATAAATCCCAATGCCATAAACACAATTGAAAACATTTATACTTTATACAAATCCAAACCCACAGCCCAGGCGCATGAACATGAGTTCTTCAGGACAACTGAAGACTTGAAATAAAAAAGGATGTATGTGCCATTTTCATTCTTTTGAGAAACAATGAGTTTTAGGTACAATTGCCATTTATAATCACCCCATCACCCATAACAAGAAATGCTCTGGACATTGATTCTTCTTTATCCTGACTGGCTTGATTCATTGATCATTATTCTAGTAAAAACATAAATTTAACAGAAATTGTACTTACATCCTTTATTTCACATCTTTAACTGCCCTAAGCCACTGGACTGGCAAACAGATTTATTATTATTCTTTCACGGAACAAAATGTTTGTGAAGAATATTTAGACACTACAGAAATATATTAAACACTAATCATAAATACTAGATGAAAGTGAACACTATTTCAGCTGTTTCATCAATTAATGTTCTTTCAGCCAAAGTGAAATTCACTGGTTTCAAGTCACAAAAAAGGAGTCATCATACTTACTGGAATGGTAATGGCTTAAGTCTCAAAGATACAATAAAAGACTGAATAAATTACTTTCTACAATGCTATAATTCCCGGAATAGTCAGTGAATTGTGCATACAAATTTTAATAAATAAAATATTACTGTACGTTCTTTACACAATCGTACATTAACATTACCACACTCCATTAATTGATTCACATTCACTTTATATAACTATTCAAAAAAACAATGAACAAGGTATACCGAGTATCAAAAAATGAAATTTATTTTATTACATAAATTCACAAAGGACTACCTTCAGTGAAATGGAAGTTGTACTACCAACTGCGATTCACACTACAATTTATAGACTGAATATTTATAGACTGAATATTCACTTTTCACTTAATCAGGAATTAAGGAGTACTTAAAATGACGAGTTCTCACAATGACAATTGATTATGGCCCGAGCCTCACCATATTAATAAAGGCATATTATTATTATTATTATATTATTATGCAAACCAATGCTTCAAAAGTGAAATCCATATAATGCCATATAAAATAAAAATTAAATGTTCATAATTCGTTAAAATATAAAACAAGCACTTCAGTTTGCGTTCCTAAAAGTTTTTTTTGTTAGCATGTTAACATTCCAATTTATTAGACCTCTGCCTCTCTAAACTTTAACAGAAGACAGAAAAATTATATCTCTATCTTACCTGTATAACCATTTACATATATTGCTATGCCTTGAAAAATATTGGATTCATGTTCAGTTTCTTTGCCTGCTTGTACTGTAAATTGATCTTCTAATTTCGATATCTTCGCTGCCATATATCCACCCTAGAAAAATGCAAGAATAAAATAATAGATAATGTACTGTGTCATCCTTTCAACTTATTGCAATATTTATGAATTTGTACAATTGTTAATAAAAGACAAAATTATGGGTATACTCTTGTTTTCCAACTTACCCATATTGCAAATCCATTGTCTTCATCTTCTCCCCTTCTTTCTCTTTTACTCTTCTTCTTTATCATTTTTGTGTCAGTTTTTAAAACTATTTTTGGTACAATCATGTGTGGCTGATGGAATAAATCAAAATGAATTAAAGCATCTTTTAAGAAAATATAAACCCTACATAACCTTCTCTAACTTGTCGATGACAACACTTGTTTTCGACAGGCAGGGGGTGTCAAACCACACTAACCAGAGACTTAATAATAATTAGTAAAACCATACCTGCCTGCCATACTATTTGGCTTCCATTCTAAGTTCATGAGCTCAGGAACAATGCAAACGTGAAATGTCTTGAAACTAGTATTTTTTTTTCTTGGAAATTACGTACTGCAACGGGGCACCTGCTAAAGTTTCACTTCAAATATCATCACATATTCACAGATGAAGTAAAATAAACAAAAATAAACGAGTAGGCAAGAGAGGGGAAGGGAGGGCAGGCAGGAGCATAAGAGCAGACAGGAGGGACAGCCCGACACCGTCCCCCACCACGCATCACCACCACGTGTATGTGCATGTCCGTGTGCGTGCGTGAATCGCGTGAATGTTATGTGTGTTCGCGGGCAGCTATAATATTGAGATATTAAATCAGCTACCTTGTTAATCAAATTTCGCGCATAGGAGGTTACTGACATTGCTTTCAACAATTATAAATAAGAGATCTTTTATGAAAATATCGGATTGTTAAAGACGAGCAAATATTATTCTTATTACGTCCGCATGGCGGCAATTTTGAATGTGCAAAAGAAGAACCAGGCAATGGCAATTCAAAATATTTGTGAAGTAGCCTCCTCCTCGGACGGATGTGTATTTATTTGTTTTTATAGCAATGTCCAGGCAGTTTCTAATAATATTCGATTTCATTGATAATATATTATGTCTTATCCGTCTGTGGTCATCGCTAGCACGGGGACAATTATGCTGATTTTCTCCAAAATTGATATTCCCCGATCCATCAGGCTCGCGACTCAGGCTTTGGGAGTTTCAACCGAATTTTGTTTTTTTTAAGTTACTTTTCAAAAAACATTTTCAAAATTTTCCCAGAAATGGCACCATTTTTTTAAAAATAAACATTGTCTTTAGATAGCGTAAAAGACGCTTAAAAGAATGTTGTGGATCTCATGCTCGTTAAAATCCCAGATTTTTAAAAAATTGCGAAAGTTCTATTTTTTGTTGTTTTCCGACAACTATTGTATAATATTGAAGGAAGAGTTTTTCCTTAATAAAATTTGTTCCTTTAAGGCATATCTTAAAACATGTTCAAGTTTCTGAAAATATGTGTAGTTTTTGCAGAATTTTACGATAAGTATAGGCAATTTTTAAATTATTTTAAACATATTATTATTAGTATTATTATTGGCATTACGCCCTGAGGAAGGTCGAAGAATGGCGATCAAAACGTCGGCACCTTCGCCATGGACGCGGCGTCACCCGGACAGCCTAGTAAATACTGATTCCGGCCGCGGAAGCCTACGCTCTCACTTATTTTAAACATTTTTTTCTCTAGAACAGTACCAACCTTTTTCTTTAAATTTTCTTCTCATATATATCAAGAACGGTAAAAAGAATTGTACTAGTCCCATTTCCGGCGAATTCTGTATTTTCGAAATTTACAAAACGTTAACACTTAAAATTACAAATTGAAGATAGATATCTTTGCCTTAGACAAAGATAAAAAAATCAGCTCTTTAAAAAATACCAAGTACATTTTTTTGAAAAAATGAGCCGTTTTCGCGTAATTTAGACTTCAAATTAATGAGGGGGGGGGAATTCTCCGAAATCGCTCCTTCCCCCCCCCCCTAGGCTAGTGGTGCTACAGAATGGTCCAGACTTTCTCATACTGTTAAGTTTCCTTATCTCTCTAACGTGGGCTAGCCTCACCCTCTTCTCAGCTGTTATCTATCGGTGCCTAAAATATACATTTTCACATTGCTTACTCACCTTTCGAATTCTTTGCCAATTGAGCATGGGATTCTGTAGAGTTCGATCTTAGACCCTATCCTCTTTCTTTCATCCATAAACGATATGCCCTTAAATGTCCATTAGAAATGGAAGAACAGTTCTATTTGCTGATGACAAGAATGTTCTTTGCGAAAAAGAAACAATAGATAGTACAATTTGCACATGCACCATTAAAAATTAACAATATGCAACTGACTGACTAACAAAATGTATGGGGTTCTCGATTCAGTCAAACTTCAAATGAAATATCTGTATAAATGAATTGAAGACTAAATTAAATTCATTAAGTTAAGCATTCAGAATTCTTTTCAATTCAATCTCCATGCAGCTCATGGCATGTATTTTGCAAATGTACATTCTCGCCTGAGATATAGCATAATATTCTGGGGAAGTTCATTTTATAGTATCTGACTTTCAGATTGCAGAAAAATTATATGATTAAAAAGCAAATGACGTCCAAGTGATTCCTGCAAACCTCTCTTCATTGAGCTTGAAATCTTAACATTGCCTTGTATATTTATTTACAAGAATGTAGTTTTGTTAAAACTGACTTATTTTCCGATGAATTTATAGAAACGTCTAGCATTTGATCACCTCAGACGCAGTTAAGGAATAAGGAGCATCAATACCAAAAATTCAGTCGTGACAAAGCTCCCAGATGGATAACTGACCCAATTGACCCAGTCCAGCTGATCAAATGCCAGAAGTCAATATAATGAAATCAGACAGTAATTGTGGGACATATTTTCATGCAATACTGATATTTGTAATTACAGCACACACCCTATTATTTTTTTAAAATAAAATTTAAATTTTTTTTGGCATCTTCCTACAACTACAATTATGAAGATAGAGATTTTTCCCTTAATGAAATATGTTCTTTAAAGATAGATTTTGAAATAAGGTCAGGTATAAGTTTTTGAGAATTTCAGTACTTTTCCAGTAATTTTGCTTGGAAGTTCATGCAAGAAATTACGTGATGTTTTAGCAGCACTATCTTACAAATGAAATACTTAGCAAAAACCTTGTCTTATATTGAGGTAAATATGGTACTGTATTCATTTCAATATTAGAAAACTATTTTCTTATTTCTGGTCTTCATTATTAGAACAAAAGCCAATTTCTTTGCCCATTTCCCAATATTTGATGGAGCTTGGGAAGGATAACAACAAAATGTACCAAGGTATTTTGGAATGTTTGAGATTTATTTAAAGTACAACAACAGCACAAAACAAATTACTTCATTTTTATTTAGAACATAATTACATATATACAAATATTTTATTTTTATTTTGAACAAGTTAGTGATTGCAAATTTTCCATACTATTATACCACCCATTACATGTCCTCTCTTTTCCAAAACATGACCTTGTGGAGATAATATTGTTATAAACATAATCAAATTACTGAAATATTACAATAATGCTACAAATTATACTGCAAAAACCATAAGAAACAATGATAATGAAGATAAATAATAACATGAAAAAACATGAACATTGCAGCAGTTTTCTTAATTTCATAATAATTGAAATTTCATTTCAACATCTCGTGAAACATAACTAAAATAAATCTTTTTGCAGTTCATCATAAAAAGCACATTCATCACCGCCCATCAGAGAATTCAAAAAATTATCCATTTAAAACAGTTGATATCCGAGTATATTATTGAAAGATAGCAAAAGATGTTAAAACAACTAAGAACATTAATTTGCTGTAAATACAAATATAGTAGAACCCTGGTAATCCGAACTAATTAGGGGTGTGGTCTGCTCAGATTCAGAAATGTTTGGATTATCCAAAAAATGTACCCTCTACACAAACACATCTGTACAATTGCAGAGAATGCAACGTAGCATGCCACGAGAGAAAATAACAATATAGCTTAGGGATGGTATCATCAAGCATATTTAGTTCCTTACAGCAAAAGAAGATAACGATTTTGCAAGTTCCTGCAAGAAAAAATTACTGTTACATAAACATGTGATAAACATCGTAGTTACCACTGCGATAAATGTTTCATTTTGACAACTGGTTTTTCAATAACTAGTTGTTCAGTTCTACAGTAATGATAAAATCCTTTCTTTACACCACAAATATGCATTTTATTTATTTTGTTTTTTTTCCTCCATCCAAAAGTTTGTTCGGATTATCCAAAATTGCAGATTTGCAGGGGTTCAGATTAACAGAGTTTGGATAAGCGGAGTTTGGATAAGCAGAGTTTGGATAAGCAAGGTTCTGTAGAAGTAGAATTTACAGGTGTATTGACTGGGTTGTAGGCAAAAGAAAAAAGTAAAAATAGAAACTAAATATATATAAATTAAAAGTTGCAAGGGTCAAAAGCAGAACTTAATGTCAGATGTAATGTAATTACACTTCACATTTTAAATTCTATAGATGTTACAAATAAAAAGAAAAATGTTGAGATTTTTAAGATGTCTAAGAAAGCATACAATGCATTTTTTACAAAAATATTCAATACATACATTTACCAAACAATCAAACAAGTAATATGAAAAAAATTATATTAAGAATTCTTTCATTAACAAAGTGAAACAATTCACAGAAGTTGTTTTCTTTTTTCCCCACACTTACCATGTTAGAAAGAACAGTCAGGAAAAACTACTCATCAAAAAAACTTCTGCATTTTCTGTCAGATAGGATTAAAATATTTTTTTCCCTAGAATTACAGACATGGGAAGTGTTTACAAATAATCACCAATGCGAAGTCATCAGTCAGCATGGAAAGTGCATGAATGTGTTCAAAGGGATGAAATGAAATAAATTGAGAAACACCATTTTTTCAGAGTAGATGAGAAAATCTACCACAGGGTGGTATACAAAATTCCTGAATGTTTAGAATTTTGAAAATACTAAATGTTTTAAAAATAAATTAATTTTAAAAAAAGGCAAATTTGTAATAACATAATGCTACGACAAAAACTACTTTAGAGGCACACTTCTTAGCTGCAATAATATCACATGAAAGTATTATACTATACAAAGGGTGAAAGTTTTGTAATACTTGAGTGCAGTAAATTATTTAAACCTGCACAGAAAAATTCAGTTTTTTAAAGCTAATGGGACAACAGGTACGCTGATCAAGGTTCATGGTGGAAAACATCCCCACCTTAGGATTTTCAAACAACTATCTTAAAATTTATTCATCTCTTATCTTAAAATACACCCAGCACAGGGTAAGAATACATACTAGTATCTAAAAGAAGAAAAAGAAAACAGCTGGGATGGAATCTAATTTAACTATCCACACATCATTGATTGTCAAAGGAATGAACATAAAATCTGGTCCACTAATGCCATTGTTCCTATATTCAATTAAATATACTCTTAGGCACTTCACAGCCTCAGTCACTGGCAGCTGATTATGTCAGAATATTCAGTGAGTGAAAAACAAAATCAATCACTGAAGTATGAGCTGTGTTCTCAGAAACACTAAAAACACTGTTTACTACCTACCCCTCTATAATATCTCATGAGGGAAGGTAGACC